AAAAGAAAAAGAAAAACAAAACAAAACAAAACAAAACAAAAAAACCTCTCCAAAAAAAAAATAAATAAAAAACACGCTATGGCCTCTTGAAGACTCAGCAGCAAAGCAAAATGTTCACAATGACTTAAATTTTAGAATATGCACATACAAGGGGCCAGCAGGTGGCATGGTGGTTAAGGTCCCACATGGCCGACCACCATTCAAGTCCTGGACCTGGTGCCTTGCTTTCTCACTTTTTGTCTCTCACAATCTCTCTCTGCCCCTCATTGGTCAAATTAAAATTAATAAATAAAATTAAATAAAATAATTTCAAAAAAGAATATGCACATACAAGGGGACTTCAAAATATTCATGGAAATATGGCATTGAAGTACGGGTTTGTTTTGGTGCAAAAATATTCTTAATCCAATTAGAATTTTTTCATAATACGCATTTTTCTTGAACGTTTTTTAAGAATTCCCCCCCATACATTTAAGAAACAATGTGATTGGTTTATCCTACTTCAAGCCAAATAGTAATCTAAGTTCTCCAGTTGTCTAATAATTAAACTAGTTTTAAAAAGGTGAGCACAGGGCTATTAGCCAGATAAAAGCATATGACTTCATCATTAGCCAGAGTTTTGCTCTATTAATTTTAACTCTGGATAGAAAACCTGACTAGCTGTGGGGTCAGAATTGGAAAGAATTATCTGCTTCTCTAACAGCTTAGAATCATTTATCTATCTAATCAGATTTTTTTCCTCTTTCCTCTCCTTTTGCTCTGCTGCTTTATTTATGGTGCTATAATTTAATGTGGCAGGATTTTTTTTCCTCTTTTACAAATTAGACCAATTTTATCCAAAGTGGGGCATGACTTTTTAAAAGCAATAGCGTTGGTTATTATCTTGCTATTGTATGTCCCAGTGTAATAAAATGAAACACTATTTATTTGTTACCATAGAAACTGATCTGATTAGCACTCCCTCAACCCCAATTCTCTGTTTAGGCTTATTCTCCTTTCCTTTGCAGCCCCCTGGTAGAGGGGTAGTTTTAATTTTTGTACCATGAGTCTTAGCTTTTCCCACGAGAACATTGGGTAAGAGTAGGTCCCATACAAATTCTGTGTTTGATGCTTGCTTACTCAATTTATTCATAATAAAACTGTGCTTCTTTAATGGAGTCTAAATATTATTTCTTCCCTTAGTAAAACTCTAGTACCATTCTTATAAATGGCAACATTTCTCCAGTGATGTGGTTGCAAGCATTTAATCTGAGTACTCTCTGAATGCTGTGGAGCGTTGGCTGTTGTGTGACCTCCTCGCTTCTCTCCTTCATTTAACCTTCTGAGACCATGTTGAGTATATTAAGACAGGTCTGCATTTTCCACTGGGTGATATCACAGGGATGGTTGAAGGCTTTTTCCAAACAATGGATTCTTGGTGTAGGCTAACATTCCAGTCTGATACCACTAAAGAGAACATCTCTAGGTAAGGTCAGGATGTCTCAGCACAGGCAGGGCCAGGTAGGCACAGCCCCATCATGGTCGGTGCCTACTCTCTGACTATAACCTATAGAAGTCCAGCTTCTCTGTGCTCCCTTCAATGACTCTTGTGCAGGATGGTTATGTCTCACAGGTATCAGGAGAGCAGATTATGGTCCTCTGCCCATGAACTAATTCAATCTAGCAAGCAAACTAAGCCCCTTACTTTCCCATCCGTTCTAAGAAATACAACTTAATAATCAAACTGGAATCATTGGAAAAGGCTTAATCTTAAGGTAGACTTTACTTTTGGGAATAGGGGTGGTCATGGTTCTTCAATTATTTCTTCAATTTTCATTTACAGGGCTAATGGCCTCTAACAATATCCCTGACACAGAGAGAGAGAGAACAATTCAGTACAAGTATGATCTACACATTGCTTTTAGGCATCAGCCAGTTTGGGGCTCTTCACTACAGCCTAGTGTGATTCTATCATGTATGTGTTTTCATAGTTGAACTTTTAGATTTTTTTTTAGAGGTTTTTGCCTTAGGGCACATGCACTCACTGGAGATAGAGAGAGACAGAGACAAAGATAGGGAAAGTGAGAAATCACCCCTGAAGCAGGATGGCCATGCCACAATCCCTTCTCCTCCATTCTCTTCCCAGGATCCTGAGCATGCAAGCATATGCACTCAGCATGATTTTGAAGGCACCAGGTCCAGGACTCGAACCATAGTGGCCCTGTAGGAGTCCAGTGACATAACTGCTACACCATCTGTTGGTCTTGAACTTTTTAATTTTTAATATTACAATAAAAGGATGAAATTCTACCCATTATTAAAGTCTATAGTTATTTTTAGCTACAGAAAAAACATATATTAATGCTCTGACTTGGCTTCATCTACTGCAGCATTATTTTAAGCCATTGCTAGTTTGTTTTATGTATTTTTAAATGTTTCTTTCTGGAAAATGAAACTCAGCTAGGTGACAAAATATAATTAATTTCAAGTGTTTGAAAGGTCCAAACTCTGCATTCTAGTGTAGTCAACCCTAAGACCCCATCAAACCTTGCAACCCAGTCTCTGAGCTTGTTTGAGGAAGAGTTTCTAATTCTAGTGGGATTGGGGTGGTAGAGATGGGACTTGGTTACTATGGTGTGGATCCACATGACTGAGACTGCTTCGTTGTGCCTCATTTACATCATCTAGACATTTGCTTAAAGGAACTTCATGAACTGATAATGGAATTGAAAATAAAATTGCTATTTCCATACTGTTCATCTGATGCTTGACTAGGTTCTGCTGCCTGAAAATTCCAATGGATAGCATGCAAGCTCAAGAAAATAGAACTCCTTCTCTCTGAAATAACTCTTGTGGCTCTGGAAAAACTCTGTTTCCAGTGGTTGTTCTTGATGACCCACTTTCCATATGCTTCTTTTCTGAACTCAAAAGGCAAAGGGAGGGAATGATCTGGCTTCACACAGAGTCTGATTGGGATAAGAACCAGAGATGGAGAAATCTAGATCTCCCATCTCTTATCTCAGGGCCCTTCTCAGATGTGTTCCATGTACCACACATCCCAACTGGGCACAGAGGCTGTGCAAGCTAATGCCTTCATGCCATTAGTCCCTTCCTGGATATAACACACCCCTCTTGTCACTCAGTCAACACATTTGTCCTTCTATCTGTCTGTTTAATCCAGGAAACAGTTTTGGCTCAGTGATCTAATCCATTAGAAAGACAGGACAGATCTCTGTCAAGTCTTTCTATTAAATGGCCTCCAGGGGACCAGCAGTTAGAGTAATGGCTATGTCGCTGGACTCTCATTTAGTTGACCGCCGTTTGAGTCCCGGATCCGGCTGCTTAAACTCACGCCGGGCATGTGTGCGTGCGTGCCCAAGATCCCGAGAGAAGAATAGAGGAGAAGGGATTGCGGTGTGGCCATCCCCTCTGGGGGGTGATTTCTCGCTTTCTGTCTCTCTGTTTCTCTCTGTCTTTCTGGTGAGCGCACATGCCCTATAGCAAAAAAAAAAAACTCTCAAAAAAAAAAAATGACCTCCAGGAAATATTTTCTAATCTATTCCTTGCTTTTCTGAAACCTGATTATTATACCAGAGAGTAAGTATGTAAAACCTTAATGTCTTATGGAAAATGTCTTATTTTGCTATTATTACATAAGACCTAATCACTTAGTAATTTTAACATATTATTTTACAGTCATTTGGAATGTGGTTAATGTTCCAAAAAGTTTCATTTTTGTCTTTGGATATGGTTATTTTTCTTGTGGGGTCATGACAAAAAGGAACAGACAAGAACTATTCCGAGAATAACTTTCCTCTGTACTTTTAACTCTAGCTATTTACAAACTTACAAGCTACAGTACTCAGTCTATAGCCCCTCCACACTAATGAAATTACAAGCAGCAGGCATCTGCTCATCAGCAATGAAAAGATTCCCTTGGTCTCAGGATGAAGCAGTCATTTTAATGCTGTGTCTCTAGAGTTGTCATCTTGCCTTACCACGATGTTACCTGTTTTCGTTCCTCAGAGTTTAGCAGGAGATAGCGTGGGTCAAACACAATTTTATGTAATTCTTTCTCCCAGGTAGAAAACGCTGACACCTGAAGAAAGATATTCAATAGAGTTGCTTTTAGCATCTAATGCTGAGCCTGGAGTTGTACTGAAATGATCAATGGTATATATATAAAAAAAGAAACAGCATTAAGGTACAATGGATTCAGTGATGCAGTGTTGTATAAAAGTGTTAGACATGTCAGACTTTGTAAGAAAAATCAATAGTTAGAACATTAGAAAATTTAATTTCTAGACTCATAACACTATTACTTCCCTGGATATTGTTCAGATCTGTGCCCTTGATTCAAAGCCCTGAATATATCTGTGGAAGATCACATCTTGAAAAGAGAAATGATAGTTATAAAAATTTTCAGAATTCCACAGGCCATAACAGAGAGCAATGTCTTGCAAATGGCCTGAGTTTAGCATAAATTTCATTGATTTTTTAATAAACATTTGACTTTTTTCGATAAGTGATTTTAAAAGGTAAACAATTTTAATTTACCATACTTTTAGATTTATAGAAAATTTATAAGATTACAGAAATTTACCACATACCTCATATCCAGTTTCCCATATTGTTACCATTTTACATCAGCATGTTAGATTTTTCACCACTAATATCGATATGCTATTCTTAAGCAAAGCTTGCACTTTATGTTTCTTTATTTTTTGCCCAATTTTATTTTCATGTCCCAGGATTCCCTGTTGCATTTAGTTGTCATGTCACCTTGGGCTCTTCTAAACTGTGACAGTTTCTCAGACTTCACTTGTTTTTGATGACCTTGACTGTGTTTAAGGAGTGTGGGTAAGGCATATTGTCAAATTCCCCTCCACTGGGATTTGTCTGAGATTTTTCTCAAAATTAGATTGAGGGTATGAGTTTGAGGACCACAGAGCTAACATGTTATTTTCATCATATCTATATCAAGGCAACAAAACATCAACTTGATTTATCACTGTTGCTATTGACTTTGATCACCAGACTGAGATAGATTATCAGGTATCTCCATTGTACAGTTACTTTCCACCCCTTTCCTTACTGTACTCCTCAGAAGAAAGTTACCAGGTGCAACCCACACTTAAGGGGTTATATTATAGTTCCTGAGGACAGAATAGCTATTTAAGCTGCACAGAATTCTTCTGAGTGAGGTATTTGTCCATTTTTCCACATTTACTTTATTTAGCTGTTTATTTATACCACTATGGACTCATGGCTATTTGGGTCATACTTTGGATTGTAATCCAATACTAATTTAGTTATTTTGTTTGTTCAAATTATTCCAGCTTTGGCCATTGAGAGCTCTTTTGGTTAGCTCTTGTGTCTCTTTGACATCGAATTTTCATTTTTAAGCACTTCCTTATTTTCTGGTACTACAAGATGTTTCAGGAGAATCTTCTGTATTTCTTGCCTCAATTTTCACATCAGCCAATTCTCCAAGAAGCCTTGGTTCCCTTCACTGGAGAAGGGTTATTAGATATCAAAATCTGGGCAACGGAGGTGTTTGCTATTACTGAGATGTGGTTGTTCTAGACTCTCTCAGCTGATAGAACAAAGAGATGCTTAAGTCATATTAAAAATAATTTATTCACTTAAAAATTGACTATGGGAACCAGCAGATGGTATAATGGTTATGTCACTGGACTCACATCATCTACCATGGTTCAAGTCCCAGAGTTGGTGGCTTAAAACTCATGCTGGATGCATGTGTATGCATGCCCAAAATCCTGAGAGGAGAATGGAGGAGTAGGGATTACAGCATGGCTATCCCACCTATGGGAGGGGGAGATTTCTTGCTTTCTATATCTCTGTCTCTCTGGCAAGTACATGTGCCCTATAGCATAAATCTCTTATAAAACAAACAAACAAAAATTGACTACATATTGACTATGTCTTGGGCCCCAGGCTGGATTCTTAGGATATAGAGAAAGTAAATCAAAGTCCCTGATATCAGGAAGCCATGGTCAGAACTAATGGGCTCCTTAAAGGGCATTCACATCACATGAGAGACATGGCTACATACTAAGACATATCCCTAGACACAGATCAAGGGCATCCACTGTGGCTGGGAAGATTTCAAGAGTGTTGAGTATATTGGCATATGAATACTCACCAAGTCTTATAAAGATCCTGGAAAGATGCTCTAGGACCAGTTGTCTATGAGTGTTAAGGGTGGTATTTAGAAACTATGGGGAATGCAGGAATTGTAATGAATGAAACATACCTTAAGTGTAGGAGCCTATAGAAGAGCTAGAAAGAAGCAGGAGAGACAGGCACATGCAAAATAGTGCAAAGCCTATTTAGGAGTCTGGGCATTATCTCAACAGCAATGGGGGGGAAAATCAGATGTGATGTGAATTTCAGGAAGTCCACTTGGGATCTGGGCAGAGAATGAATTCGTAGGCAGCGTAGGGAGGAAAAGCCAATCATAAGTCTAGAAAAACAAAATCCTACTCATGATCTTAAAATATTCCTGGTAGAGGTACTATTTTAATAAACACATGTATTATTAGGCATAGAGTAACACATGCATTTTCTTAATTGATAATTTCTATTTTTCATAATCAAAATCAAAAACCTTTTGGTAATATCCATGAGCTGTCTGATGGGGTTGTCTGACCTAGAATCCACCAGGGATTTTCTTCATGTGAATGAGGACATAATAAAATGATGCTATATTATATGGATGGGAAGGTGGAGACTCTTCGTGAAAGTATCCAAGCAGAATGTTCCCATTTTTCTTTGATAAATCACATTTGACTACATAAGCATTTGGAGAAGTTTTGGAGAGAGGCTGAGGCCAACCTCAATCAGTCAATCAGAGGGACATGTGTCTGTATAGAGCCCAGAATGTTTGGCTCTATAGAGATGGCAGAGGAAAATTAGGAATTGGTGTCACATAGCTAAATGCACTAGTTTACTGAGAATTTTTAGATCTAGAGATAAATTCCAATAAATGCTTTTTTAAATAATGATAATAATGATATTGTCCCCAAAAGAATTTATAATCTATACTGAAGGCAAGTTAAGCCATTTCTACAAAGACTACAATTTACAATTAAACTGACTATGTCATATCACCATACAGCCATACTAAAGAATGCTCATGAAGTTCAAAAATGGACGAGAGTATAATGTTTGGGAGAGGGGAGGCCAGGGTGGGATGTGGCACAGAAGTTGGAGCTCAAGGGAAAGTTGTACAGTACTGTGTGAAATAAGGTTGTCTGCCTCCTTCTAGGTGGGGACAGCCCTGTGAGACAGAGCAAGTGTATAAGCATACACTTCGCACATGCTTATAAACTCCCAAAGGAGTTCTGATAGCTGTAGTGATAATGAATATTACAAATTGCTTCTGAGAAAAGGTCAACCTCCCAGGGCCTGTGTACCGCAGTTATATTGCCCAGTGCGTTCATTCTATATGAGAGACTGAATGTACACACACATATACATAAATTTACATGCATAAGCATACACATGTTCACATACATAAATGTAAGTGGTCTTCTAAAAGTTACTAAAAATGTCTATTGTAAACAAACAAGCAAAGAAACAAAAAATTCTTGGGCAGCTCTGTAGCAGAGTGGTTAAGTACTGTGTGTAGAAAGCCATATACCACATGATTGACTGTGTTTTTTTGGAAAGGTTTTCGCTATAGGGCACGTGTGCTCGCCAGAAAGACAAAGGGAGACACAGAGACAGAAAGTGAGAAATCACTCCCCAGAGGGGATGGCCACGCCACAATCCCTTCTCCTCTTGGGATCTTGGGCACACACACACAGGTGTCCGGTGTGAGTTTAAGCCGCTGGGTCCGGGACTCGAACCATGGTCGACTACGTGGGAGTCCAGTGACATAGCCATTACGCCAACTGCTGACCCCATGATTGACTGTGGTTTGAATCCCAGCCTGGCCAGTTTAAAAATACACTGAGAGTATATGTGTACATGCCCAGAATCCTGATGGGATGGAGAAGCTGAGGAAAGGGATTGTGGCATATCCATACCCCACTGGGGCAGGGGTAGGCTTCTCTTTCTCCTTTTCTCTCTCTGTCTAGTGAGGGCACATGATTTCTAGTAATTAAAATAAAAAACAAAAGTACCTATAAATTTCAAAACTTGCTGCACTAAAATAAATTCATACTTAAGTTCCATTTTTCCATGAGTTTTTTGAAGCCCTTTTGTACAAACATACACCCAAGTGCATGTATGTACACACATACAAAGGTGCACATGCCCAACACACACATGTGCACATGATACAAAGATGTGCACACACAGGCATACACAGATGTGTATTACATACATTTGCATGTGCTTACAAACAGGTATACACATATGTGCCCCTTTCCCCATCATCACCAGCAATAGTAAGGAAGACCAGTTTTGCTTAACACTACGGAAATAATGATCGTCAGTCAAGTAAACAGCAAGTTTAGTATCTCTCGCTTACACAGATAGGAAGCTATGTTGCAGGAAAGTTTTCCAGGTGGCTTTGGACTAACCCAGTTTTCCCCCTTTTCATTTCACAGTTCTCAAGAATAAAGTTGAATGTGCTGAAAATGCAACATCTGAGTTAAGGAAGAACTGGCTAAAATAGGTTCTGTTTTGTTCTGCCCCAACCGCCTATTGTCCCCAAAGCAGATGTCTTTCAAAACTTCAGCATAGCATGTCACATTACCCCAGGGTATAAAACTCTGGGCAGACTATTCTCTGGGGTCTTTCAGTGCAATGCACATGAGGCACACAAAGACGAGACTACCCCCTTCAGTGCAATTTTCCTGAACCTTGGTGGACTGACTTGCAATGAGTCTCAGGCTTCCATTGACTTCTGCTGTCTATATGTAGGTAATAAACACACTTCAAGTAATTTTTGTGCGTGGGTGTTCAGACAAGTTGGTAACCAGTGGACAGTGAATCTATTTCACATATGTTAGTTTTCAGAGCCATTCTCAGCTCCGAAAGGTTGCGTGCAATTTCCTGACACGGGCCTGTAGAGCAGTGTGCTTCTTCAAAGCTAGAAGAGAAATACTCTGCAGTTGGTTAAGGCTG